GAGATCAACTTAACAAGAACAAAGTGTAACACAAAAACTGTAATATGCTAACTTGTTGTCGAAAAAAAAGTAAAAAATGTCAAACGTTTCGCACAATAACTATTTAGACGTCCGCGAAATTTTCCTTCCGACAGTGTCTGATCATGTCTGCATTTGTCCTGTATAGCAATATAAAAAAAACGTTTTCACTGTCCTTTTGCTAGACAACGAGATGAAAAATAATACATTCAATTTTTTTTCCACATATTTTTTAACGACAACTGTTTAGTTTGAGTTTTAGTCACCATAGTTTTAGTATGTTCAGGCCGATCTGAATCATGCTTTTCGTCACATACTTCAGGTTGATCTAATTCGAAACAACTTGGATCGAATTTAAACCAGGATATATGATTGGGTTGAATGGGAGAATCATCGACCCAGGTATAGCCTAGACTGTAAATAAAAAGAGTATTCTCGAAAACTTAAAACTCTGTCTTCATATCATAGTAAGTAAAGCTTTTCCTATACTGTTTTCTTATATCATTAAAAGTGAACAAAACTCTAACGCAACTTAATCTTCATTATAACCCGATATCTGTTAGAGAACGTAAGGCACTGGCTGATGCATTGCAAGTGAACAAAAGACTCACGCAACTGAATCTTCATTATAACCCAACATCTCCTAGAACAGGCGAAGCACTGGCCGATGCATTGAAAGTGAACAAAACAATCACGCAACCGAATCTTCATTATAATCACATATCTGTTAGAGGAGGCGAAGCACTCGCTGATACATTAAAAGTGAACAAAACACTCACGCAACTGAATGTTCATTGTAACGAAATATCTATCAGCCAGTGCCTCGCCTCTTCTAGCAGATATTTGGTTATAATAAAGGTTAAGCTGCGTGAGAGTTTTCTCCACCTTCAATGTCGGGAAGAGATCAACTTAACAAGAACAAAGTGTAACACAAAAACTGTAATATGCTAACTTGTTGTCGAAAAAAAAGTAAAAAATGTCAAACGTATTGAACGGTGGTGAAGTTAATTTGACGGGTATGGATTCCGGGAATGTCATATTTAAGGAGCACGTAGAGATTCCAGAAGCAATATTTTAAGCTGGTAGACCGACACATCCAAAATTACGACTTGAAACCAATCCTCAAACCAGTAAAGATAATGTAACATTTGGTGAAATCAGCAATGGGAAGGTAGGTGGAAAACGTTACCACAGAAAGGTTTCCAAACCTTCAAGTAATCAAAAACTTTAACAACCGCACTTTTTCATTTTTATTTTCAAAAGGTTTTTAGCTATACATTTCATAAATAAAACACTGCAGTTAGACCAGGCACGTTGTTTGAGAAATACATCTACTGGATCAAGCGACCAAATGTGGCGCAACTTGAAGTGTTTTCTTAACTTTTAATGCATCAGTCAGTGCGTAACCTCCTCCACCAGATATTTGGTTATAATGAAAGAATTTTGTTCACTATCAATGCATCACCCAGTTCCTCGCCTACTCTAGCAGTTATTTGGTTATAACGAAGATTCAGCTCAGTGGAAGTTTTGTTCACTTTCAGTGCATCAGCCAGTGCCTCTCCTCCTACATCAGATATTTGGTTAGCATTAAATTTAAGTTCCGTGAAAGTTTTGTTCACTTTCAATGCAGCAGCCAGTGCCTCGCCTCGTTTAGTAGATATTTCGTTATACTGAAAATTGAGTTGCATGAGAGTTTTGTTCACCATCAATGCATCATCCAGTGCCTAACTAATTCTAAAAATCTGCTAGAGGAGGCAAGGCACTGGCTGATGTATGGAAACTGAACAAACTCTGACGCAAGTGAATCTTAATTCTAACGAAATATCTGCTAGCGGAGGTCAGGCACTAGCTGATGGATCGGAAGTGTACAAAACTCTCACGCAACAGAATCTTAATTATAACCAAACATCTGCTAGAAGAGTTAATGCACTGGTTCACGCATTGAAAGTGAACAGAACGCTCACGCAACTGAATTTTCATTATAACCAAACGGATGCTGCACGGAAAGTGAACCGAATCTTCGTTATAACCAAATATCAGCGAAAGCAGACGAGGGACTAGCGCATGCATCGAAACTGAACAAAACTCTCTCGCAACTTGACTGGTGAGTAACCAAAATGTCTCATAAAGGAGGCGTGGCATTGGCTGATGTATGGAAAGTAAACAGACTCTGACGCAACTGATTCTTCGTTATAAAGTTGCGGGTGCTTGACCTGTTGGAGAATTTATCATATGATGATGACGATAGGGTGTTCCTGGTGCTCCGAATCCGAGTAAACCAGTGCCTCTTGCGTGATGTGGAGGCAAAAGATTTGACGGATTTCCTTCTTGTCTTCCTGTTGTTTGTCTCAAACGTCCACTCGATAAATGATTATTCATTGTCGATGAACCATCCGCCTGTTCAGAAGGGGAAGCTCCTGTTGAACTTAGGTACGCCTTACTGATACCTTCGCTAATAGCCGGTAGAGCGAACTTGAAAAATGATTCCCAAATTCCATCTTCTTTCTTGATTGTGTCAGGATTGCGATCGC